GAAAACCAGATCTCCGAAGGCCTAGCAGCAAAAACCATTGTCATATTCGGAATCAGCATAGTCGATAACCTATTCTCCACTAGGTTTCAAGAAAAAAGCGAGCGGACACTTGGGGCAGTTCCCTCGTTAGTATCGTTCGAAAAAACTTATAATTTTTTCCTTGGAAACTTTTCAAGACACTAGATGCTTGAAATGGTTGAGAATATGGCACAAACGTCAATAACGTATATATTATTTGAAGAAGAAACACCAAAGTTTTATCAAATTATATTTGTTGAATAATTTATATCTTTAATATGAAGTACAATCAGCTCAACGAAGAAGCAAATAGTTGATTTGCAAAAGCTTTTGATTTGCTATTTGGAACAGATGTAGGCCTCATTGAGTTAAAAATAGGTTCAAGTGTTCTGGCCCTTCCATCAACAGTCATGACTATGACAAGTTTCCTGCAGATAGTCCGCCTGTGGTACCAAATCACAGATTTATGTGTGAATACGTAGAGTGAAGAGCTGAAATGTTTACAACGTTTAGTACTAAGCGCCGACTGTTCACTATCAGGGTTTTAGTGTTTCAGCTTGTTCGGATCGCCGGAACCCGAGTTTTTTAAAGACTAGAAAATAACTTTTAAATTACGTTTAAAAACTTCAGCATAAAATTTTGAAATAAATGGATTTCTTAAGACAAACAAGTGTACGTTCACATTACTTCAGTCTCTAAATAGAACTTTTAAAGACGCATAAATATCATTATTGAATATATATTTCTAGGATAGACCTACAGGTTAATCCAAGTCTAATTCTATTTACATCAATTTTTTATGTTCTTCCTAATGTCGACATCTAGGCGTGTAATAAACGTTTGCTCGAGGTCGGCAATACTGTTTTTCAATAACATTCTGGGCTTCTGTACCAAACTGAACACCTTCACCATATAGATATTGACATTTTGCCGGCCGATCTAAAACTGACCACATTTATTACTTGTCACGTTAATGTATCTTCTACTTATCCGATAAGCTTGGTTATGTCAAGAAAAACGTTAGGGCGTCCGCCACATTTGTTTTCAAGTTCAGTATCCCCATCACTGATGGGAGTATTTGTAGTAGTTCTGACAATAATGGGATCGGATTTACTGTATTAATATCTTCTACGCGAATCTTGTCGAGATGAGACAGCATTTTCATGGCGTTCTTCAGTTGGACAACACTTGTATAAAGAAGACTAGAAAAGTTAAAAAATGGAATTAAATCACTGGAATTAAATCAAAATGGAGTATAAATGCACGCGGCTCAGCTTCCTCTGTTAAAAAATTGAGAAACAGCCGTTCACATTCACACCAAAATTCCGGTGATCTGAATTCGCTCGATACGCATTGAGAAACGGATCAGCTTGGTTATTCGGATTTTCATATTTTCTGTGAGGAAAATATTTGAATAACTTTTGTTGGTAATCATCGCGCTCGTTGAAGTTTTCGATCTGCTTTCGTTGAAAGTCGCCATCGTCCTCGTTGATAAAATTCAAATCGTTCTAAAAATGTATTTAAATATTGAACATGTGCTCTCAGAGATAACATTCATTCAAAAGCATATTTCAATAAAAAGCCATTTTCGAATAAATGTTACGCTCGAAAGAAAGACGTAGTACACTTTATTGTTGTTTTAATAGCAATATAACTGATTTATATCATTTAGATACCCGTCCGGTAACAGTACAAAATTTCGGCCAACTGGTTTTTAGAAGACATTAAAAGATTTTTACAAATTCTTCTCTCAGATTGAACACTGGAGCCAAACTAGAAATGCGCGCTCTGTCAACCTCTAGTCACATGTGTTGGCTCTTTCTGAAACTAACTCTCGCACCCCAGCTTTTAAAATGGTCGAGAAATTTGGAAAACGTTGTTTGATGCCAAGCGAAAAAGCGCTTTTGGAATGTAATTTCACCTGTTTTGAGACTTTTGATATAACTGCTTTAGCTTTTGAGCGAGACGCTCTGATGGATGTACTTGCCCACTCGCAAGTGTTGTCTAAGGCTCTTGGTTTTTTTCGCCAATGATCAAGTGCTTGAATTACTTGATGTTGTTATTGTTTATTTCGATTTTTGTTGACCTCCTCACTGTTATAAGGACCTCACTACGTCCTGCCTTCATTACATAAAAAGGCCAAAGCAACATCTTATGAAGATGCAGTAATCATTCCTTTATTCATCGGTGCTTATTTCTTTCTCTTGTCTGTTTGAGTCAATAAAACGCCTGATAAAACGTTTTATGTAGTTTATCAGTGAATAAAAACAAAAATGAAAAAATATGCAATAATAAATAGAACGAATATAGAACAAATAGAATGAAAGAAATGACAATAACGTAATTTTGTCCTAGAACTCAAGGTAAGTTAATTAGTATTGCGCCTCTGTATTCAATAAAGCTACGTATCAGACTAAGGATATGAATCTGAGAACTTCATCATTCGACACGGCAGTCTAAATCATCGCACCAAAGCTTGCCAGCGCAGCCCCTTATGGCCTGAAATATTGAACTCTCAGCCAGATTTAGAAGATATTTGTTTACGAGATTATATTTAACTTCCAAAAGAAAATACTAATCAGTGTAGCCACAGAGAGAAAATACAAAGAGCAAAGAGACAATGATGATTAATAAACCAGCCATAAAATTGAGATGTTTAAGAATATCGTCGAGGCACATGCCTTGTTTTTTACGAAATTATCTTAAGAGGAGGAGGGGCACAATGGGCAACTATACAGACAATTATTGGAAAATCGAAAGTGAGCATTTTCCAAATTGAATTATGCCAAAATACACTTCCACATTACGGCTATCTATTGCCGTAAAATATTCAAACATTCGTAGGGGGAGAGGAAATCTATCCTGCGAAAACGGTCATGTTAAGTGAACAAATTTACTCTAACCGTTGTTATCCTCTCAATAGTTTATATTCTGAATATAGGACCATACAAACGAGAAAATTTCCTAGATTTCTTGTGGAAAGTAGAAAAAAAAATTCTTTTTTTGTATGGAACGTATGTGGTTCACGAGGGAATCTCTCGAGGTGATATAACACTTTTGACCGAAATCTAGAAGGTTATAGATTATCGACCATGCTAATTCCGAATATGATCATGGGGGTTCGCCTTGGTCCTTTGAAGATCCGGTTTTCTGGAAAATCAGTTTTTCAGAAACTCTAAAAAATAAATAAAACATTTTTTAATGAGTCATAATTGCAGTCCGCAAATTTCTGATTAAAATGAGACATCTTCCAGCTCTGCACGACCTTTCTTTGCACAGTTATAGAATTGACAACAAAAGCCCTAAATAAATTTCTTATTTCTGTAGCTTTGAGCTGACAATGAACATCTAGGGCTTTTGTTGTAAATTCCATAACTGTGCAAAGAAAGACCGTGTAGAGTGGGAAAATGTCTCATTTTGATCAGAAATGTGCGGACTACAATTATCACTCATTAAGAAAGATTTTAGTTATTTTTAGAGTTTCTGAAAAGCTGGTTTTTAGAAAACTAGATCTTCGAAGGATTGAGGGGAATCCCCATGGTCATATTTGGAATCAGCATGGTCGAAAAACTATGATCCCCAGATTTCGATCAACAAGCGTTTTATCACCTCGAGAGGTTTTCTCGCTTGTGTAATAAGTTTCCACACGGCCAAACTTCTCAGAAAAGTTGATCTTTATCTAGTACATCTGTGTTCCCTGGATCTTACAAGAGATTTTCTAAAATCCGACGGTTTTTTAACTTTGTCCAACTTCCGCCCACTGTTTTGATCAAACCAATGAGATTATTCAGCGAACAATTTTATAGCTTTATTAGGATATTTATTTATAATCTGTTCTTTTATTTTCAGTGACAAATTGATCTTTTAGCTAAATAACGATCATGTTTATTAATATTCAAATTTATATTTTAACGTTTATTTTATTATTATTAATACCAATTGAGTCTCGTTCAGTTTTTAATGTTGGAAACAATAACGACAACAACGAAATATTTATCTCAAATGAATTACGTGAAGATGATAAAAAGGCTATTCTAACATTAACAGGATATCGACATAGATTTGATCATTCTCACAATTTAAAATTACTTAAATTATCATCAGTGAATTATCGGGATACTAAAGCTTTATGTGAATTTTGTGACCTAGTTGTTCCAATAGTATGTTTCTCATAGAGAATTTGTTTCGTTTTCATGAATTTATTTGATTGTTTATTTTTCCTTTTAGGCACGCATATTAATTGAATATAATGAAACTGCTCATATTGAAAATGTTGTTATTGGAATTTGTAAAGACTTCAAATTATTTGATCCAGATGTTTGTGTTGGTGCCGTACATGAATATAAGGTAAAAACAAACTTAGCGTTTTTGCTTAATTAGACGAGTATCTGCGCAGAGAAACAACTTTATAACTCAGAGTTTTCAATTAATGTCGCTTCTCTGCTAGTCACCCAGTGACGTGGCTAGTAAATTATGTCAGAGAGCTGCGAAACAGAGTTTTCAAGATTTGCTTAAAAAAACGCATCTGCCATGTTGGTTGATATATTAAGGAGCTTTTTCTGATCATTACTTTATAGATGAGCGCCGCTACGTTTCAGTCGTTAATAAAAAATTTCGGCTACGCGAGAGTCAGCTCATCAGTGAGAGCACGATGGAAGATGAGTTTCTTCTTGTCCACGTCGTTACAGTAACTTGCAGATCAAAGCACAGCATTTAGAAACCAAATTAGTGCGCCAATCTGATAGACACGTTGAACGTGAAAATTATCTCAAGAGCCACTCAGCTGACTTTTGTAAGATTTGACATTTTAGGACAGATGTCTTCAAGTACTGTCTAAGAAAAAGGATCCGTACCACGCCTTATTTCGCTGAAAGATTCAGAAATGTTTTCAGTTCTTGGAATCCTTTAGGGTTTCGTGTTAAAACAATTGTGTCAGGCAAAATCTCAAAGGTTTCCTACAAAACTATTTCCGATATACAAAAGGTTCCACAGTCTAGAGCTGTGACAGTTATCAGTTACCGTTACTACCGTTACTCGGTAACGGTAACTGTTGAACAGTTGTCGTACTTGGTAACGGTAATGAATGATCAGTTACCTTTATAGTAACGACAACTGTTCATCGGTTATCGTTACCTGGTAACGGTGGTAACGGTAAATGGTAACTGTTACAGTCCTACTATAGTAGCCATAGTAACCTATACACTTCTGACTTCGTTAAACACATGCTCGACAGTTAAAACGGTAACTGCTTACCCGTTACCATTGCCAAGAACGGTAATTGTCCAACAGGTACAGTTAGTGTAACGGAAATGGTAACTGTCACAGCCCTACCGTAGTCGAAGGATTCCAAGATTGAAACCATTTTCGAATCCTTCAGCAGAAGAAGGTCAGACACGGATACTGAACTACCAGCATTTTGCTAAATGCCGTAAAAAAACATCCCTTGCAACAGGTTTTTGTTTATGTTTCGGCAAAATAAATGGAATTCGGTGACCGAATTTCATCTTGAGCAACATGTCCCTTCGTAGAAAATCGTTCGGGCTATCATTTGGAATTATCAAATAAGTTATGGTTGCTTTTGGTTTTCTAGAGATCTCCTATAAACCGTTTTAAAAATTATCTCTAGAACTCGAGAAAATTCTACTTAAGTTTATTTAGTTTTCAAGCTCCTGCTAATAGCGTACTTCAAATTTCTGTTACTCACTTGCAAAAGTCTGTTTTTAAGTGAGCTGTGTGGAATTTATTTTGTAAAATCCAGACATTTTCAAAGGCAATGGCAGTATTTAAAAAATTTACTTTTTTTACAAAAGACTTTTGCTGGAAATTTTTCCAGAATGTTTATCTGGGCATCTGCATGATCATCTATTGTAGGGCTGTAACAGTTACCAGTTACCGTTATCACCGTTACTCGGTAACGCTAACAGGAATGTTCACCATGGATTATCTGGGCATCTGGTTGTTTTGAGTTGGTAAATCATAATCTCTAGGTTCTCCAAAATTTATTAAACCTTTTTAGAATTTTTCTGAATCTGCCATTTATAGCGCACTTAATTTATTTATGATCTGTCAGTTCCAGGCTTATTAACTCAGTCAGGGACGTGCCATGAGCTTTTAATTTCTTTCTTATAAAACATCTTTTTGGCAGAGCGCTTTAACTAAAACTCATATAACACTCTTCATACTAGTTCAATAAGCCTAAAAATTACAGAATCTGTTCTACATGGTAGTTCTAAAAGAATTATAAATTGTCAGTTGATTAAAGTTTGAGTTCTAGAGATGAAATTTTCAAATATTTGCCTAGCTGTTTGAATAACGCTAGTATTCGTCTTCTACATGTTCGATCACATATAATCACGTCGCTTCATCGAAAATTGATTTGGCATTTAGCACAGTTCCTTTCATAGCACTTGGGAGGAAAGAGCTCTCTTTAAAACCCTTAAGTAAAATCATCAAAATCGGGTTGGTGGTCAGTGAGGTGGGTAAATAATAGACATGCAACGGTTACAGTTATTAACCGTTAACTGTAATCGTAAATAACCGTTCGAACGGTTAGTTACGGTTACGGTTATGACTGATTACGGTTAACCGTAACCGTTCCATGCCTAGTATAAAATCTTTCTCATGTAGCATCCCTTATTAAATGTGAGTTGTAGCAGAAGTTTCCTACTTTTTAGAAAAAGTTTCAACTCATCATTTATGTTTAGTGCTTGTCATTTTAGCTGGTGTATGATAAGGATTTTTTTCTTCTGTAGGACGCGGTTATTGAAGTTATTGCCACAAGTAAATTGAACAATAAACAATTGTGTGGTATTGCATTTGATTGTGAAAAACAAACAGATATTCCAGTTTTAAATTGGAACGTTACTTTTCCAAATGTGCCAAAACCGCCTATAAAACCACCACAACCACCATCGGCAAGTAGAATAAATAAATCGTTAATTTTCAATCGTGTACAAGCTGTGAGTAATTCATACTAAAGATTGACTGAATTACCAAAATGCGTTTTGTTTTCTAGCAATTAACTTCAGTAAATCTCGTTCGGATTCTAATAAATCGCCTGATTTCGATAATTTGTGTCAGATGTAACCTGATTTAGTTTGCTTTAGTGGCAGATCAGGAAAGAAATCGTTTGGGTCCATATCTTTTGTATTTACTGTCTCAATAAGTGATGCAAACATTTTGCTAGAAACATCTTTGCTCTACTTGACGTTTCCAAACCATGAAGACACTCACTTACTCACCGAACAACACTCATAAACGAAAAGTTATCGCACTCTTACCCTATTTCACGAAAGGGGCGACCTAGCGTGCTCAATTTTTTTTTTAAAATCTAATTCTGATTTAACCAGTTTGTCGTCCTACTAAAGTTGAGTATATTCTGAAATTTTTAGCCTATGGAGGTGTTTCATTGATCGGGAATAAATTTTTTATCTCGACATATCACTCTATTCCACACGTTTTATAACTTTTTGTATAGTCTGGCGTTATTCATCAATAACGTTTCCAATCGAGATTTTTGGTGGGTATATACTAGACAACGAGTACTACACATCTACCGACTTAAACAAGAATTTCGATCCAAGGGGGCTACACGTGGCACGCCATTTTGGTGTCTATTTTCGACGATGGATTTCTCTGGGTTGTGCAAGTTGATAAGCTTCAAATCTTATCAGTATATACTACTAACTTTACTCTGTCAGAATCTGTTTTCGGACTTTTGGCTTTTTGCTTCAGGGCCCGGCTGAAGTATAAAAATTCTATCGGGTACAAATTTGTCCTTGACATATCCTTTTAAAAAGAATGACATATTCGTATTCTCCATGAAATTCTGCATCCATTGGTATGATTTTTACTACTACAGATCGTATACTCGAGACTCTAGGCGACGTTAACCACCCAACATCATCCCTTTTGGTCCTGATCGGGGTTCTTTCTGGTGAGGATAGAGCAGATGAGGCTGAGAACAGTGTAGTTTCGTAGAAGTCATTTCGGGCTCCAAAATAGCTATCTTCATTTTTTTCTGAACACACATAAACGAAATGGCGATTTATAACGACGCAAACCTAGGAAAACCACATACTACATTCCCTAAATATTTTACCATGGCTAAATGAAAAGGATTGCCAATGTGAAAATAGTATGGAATATATAGTTTCAGATTCTCTATCGAAGGAGACTAATTTAAGCCAGAATAAAAGTATGCTTCGTACAAAAATCCGGTTTCTGAGCATCAGGATTTCTAGAAAACCTTTCAAATTTGTTTTCTATACAGTTTGATTGAGTAAAATATTCTAAGTAAAATGGTATATCACTCAAAATTTTACAACATTAGTATATAGAGAACTCAATTTCTCAAAAACGCGAAGGCAGTTTCCACTCAGTAAAGCACGCATAATCTAAGTACCATAAGACTGTTGCTGTATGAGCCTAACAACCTATAGCGTGCCTTATAATGCTGAGCATCAATTTTTACTACGAATCAACTGCTATTGTAAGAGGTGTACCTAGGGATGACTTTATTCTCATATATAATGGCACTTTAAATTACGTTGTTGATACGAAACGTTTTGTTCAGTCTTGATACCGTTGCATCTTATTTTCCACCCTCTATACAAAGTTCAGACAGCAGTTATTTTTTTCTCTCTATTAATTATTCCCTCTCATAATGACATCAGTGATATAGATCATCGACTTTAGTACTTGTACACGTCTATCTCATTTGTGTTACCTTCATCTTACGCTACTTTTTTCTTTTGTTCTTCATCTTTTATTGTAGTGTATAAGTGTCTGTGGCATATATGATTACGCTTTGCCACTTTACTGATATAGAAAATAAATGGTTTAAAAACAACAACCTATAGTGTAATTTTCACTTTTACATTGGTAGTAATTGCTAATATCGTTTCATTGCTGTCAGATGGATCATATTTAATACAAAGGAAATATTTTGTACTATTTCGGAAACCACCCTGTATTTGACACCGTGATAGATTATCTTTGTCGGGCGATAACTCAACATCAAGATCGCCTTTCTCATATACATGTGATTTAGCATATGCTTAACTTTGTTTTAATTGATACCTACCACATGTAAAATAGTACAAAATATTACCTTTATATTAAATATGATCCATCTGACAGCGATGAAACGATATTAGACAAAAAATACTAGCAATGTAAAAGTGGAAATCACACTATAGGTTGTTGGGTTCATGTAGCAACAGTCTTATAGTACTTAGGTTATGCTCGCTTTACTTAGTGGAAACCATCTCAACATTTTGTTTGATAGTATAACATCATGTCTCTGAAAACACACTATAATTCTGCAAACTCTACACAGCAAAATCAGACCTTCCAGTCTTTCTTCTTGTTCATTTCTTCGACTGGGAGAATATTACCCAACTCTTAGAATTAAGAGATGCTCAATACTCTTAATAAGCAACAGCGTTCCTGAACAATTCTTTTGTTCTTTTTCTATATTTGTATAATATACCGCTCGATTTTGCTTTGTCCGAAGATCAAGAATATAATCTTACTTTTACAAAAAGACGTAATGAAAATGAGAAAAGTCAATCTTAAGAGCAAAACGATCAATAAGATATACGAAGGTTTTTTAAAGTCTTATTGATAAATCTGGTCAAAGACTCAACTTCAGTTGCTAGATAGTGAAGGGTATGCAAAACGAATTTTAAATTTTACTCGAAAAATATTTTTTCTCGAAACATAACCGTGTTCTCCTATTTCTTTTATCGCCCGTATATAGCGCGTTCTCCACTCTACACAATCTGGTATAAACAATTTCTTCACTATACTTTCTTACTAAATTAAAAACTTTTTTCATCTCATGTCCCTGAGCTGTCAAACTTTTAAAAAAAAACATTATTTTTCGAGAAACGATCACGGTTGATATAAGCTTTATTCTGTCAGAATACAAGCGGAAAAATATTTCATTAGAGTATTCTAAACTAAAACTATCGAGAAACGTCAACAGTTTTGTACGAATAGAGATTCGAATACATGAACTTAGTTTTGCAGAAACTGCAAATTCAATCCACTGTTCTGTGTCTATATCCTGTATAACGATTGAAGTTGCACAATCAACTCGATGTTATCAACAACATTTTTTTTGGTATATTTTTTTGTGTTCTACTTTTGCAATCAGAACACAAATCAAAATTGATCATGGCTTCAAAACAAAAATTACATATGGTTAGATGCCGTCCTTGACTACACGTCACATTTAGAAACAGGGACACCTGGATATGTTCACTCTAAATTGGTTAAAGAAGCTTTTGAGAGCTAATAGAATTTTTAAACATTTTGTTTTTTGTATTCATTTTTAGTCTGGTTCACCAAAATTAAATATTCTTCATTTATCTGATATACATATTGATTTCAAATATACACCTGGATCGCTAGCGGACTGCCCACAGCCTCTTTGCTGTCGATCTGGCACACCAGGTATTCAACATTTTGTTCCTACGAGAGCATTGACAAGTAAATCGAGCACCCTATGTTATATTTTAGTTGCAGAATGAAGCCCTTTTATTGAGTAGTAACTTATTGTGCTACAATCACTAAAAAGAGGCGAAAAAACTAAACAAAATATGAAAGTTAGTTTTTCAAAGATTTTCAAATTTTGTGTCAAACATTTCTAATTTAACGAAATATTGAACCCTTTGGCCAGCGGAGTTTTATATATAATACCTGAACTTCTATTGCCAAATGTCGCTAATATTAGATTATTTTAATGATTAATTCTTTTATATGTGCGTTTATGCTAATTTTGGTTCAGAGTTTCTCGGTGTGCAATGTGTTATTTAACAGAAAATGACGTCGAAGAAGCATCTACTGGCAGGGAGAATTTGTAAAATTTTGGCTGACTCTGATTCTAATGTGGACGAAAATATTTATTCGCAAATGATGGAGAAATCTCATCGAGTTGTTCTCAAGCTGAGCAATCAAACGCCTTGGACGAATCTGGAGCCTCGATTTTGCCATCACTTTGCGAATCAATATTTTCGTCCACATTAGAATCAGAGTCAGCCAAAATTTTACAAATTCGCCCTGCCGGCAGACTCCTCTTCGACGTCATTTTCTGTAAAATAACACATTGCACATCTAGAAGCTCTGAAGCAAGATTAGCGCAAACGCACATATAAAAGCACACCAGAGTGACGTAGTACCATGCCATTTTATATGTTGCAGAGCTAAGAATTTTGAAGAAGAACCCGTTAAAAATTTTGGGAACAAAAATGCGTGTTAGGATTAAAAACACGATCCACATATAGGAACATAGAAATTTCACGGGAACGCTTTATTCCAAGGGGAAAAAAATCTCACTTCAAGTGTGTGCACTTATGACTGAAGTGTCACTGGAAGTGCTGAAGTGACACTCTAAGAGTGTGAGTCAATTTTAGAACGAACGTAGTATTAGTTTATATTTCTGTGCTTTTCTGACTGTTTTTCTCTTCTCTGCCGAAATCGCAATCCAAACGTTGAACTTTGCTGTAAGAAGAATTAGACATAAGCAAAATCCTTTTCCGAAACTATTCGGAAGGAGATCTTTGGAAAAGCACTTCGAACTCTTGAGTTTTCCCGGTTCAGGCGTGGCATTGAATTAGCTGAGAGTCTCAGTTACTTCTTTAAGTGTGGTATTTCCGAAAATAATGGAAACATACGTAATCGACCGCGCTGACTCTAATGGTAATATCTGTTTTTCAGACCCCAACAACCTAATGAAAACCTCTATCAGGTGTAATAACTCACTTTTGCCTATTTTCGAGTATAATTAAAAAATTCATAATCCAGTCAAGATCGGTCTAAATTATGTCAGAATATCAAGATGGACTCTATTTTACCTGCTCGATACTATGCAGTTCAATAAAAGCTTTAAAAATCAGCACAAAATACTTTGATTTTTGAAACTGTTTTCTAGAGATCTTTCGAAGTACAAGAATGTTTTTTACTATTCTGAAGTAAAAAATCGCCTTAAGCAGGTAAAATAGAGTACATCTTGATATTCTGACAGAATTCAGATTGACTGGTTATGACTTTTTAATTATACTCGAAAATAGGCAGAAATGAGTTATTCCACCTAATATAGGTGTGATGGGTGATTAAAATGAGACATCTCCCAGTTCTCCACTAACTTTCTTTGCAAAGTTATGGAGCTTACAAAGAAAGCCCTAAATGTTCATTGTCCGCTCAAAGCTGCAGAAATAAGAAGAAATTAATTTAGGGCTTTTCCTGTAAATTCTATAAGTTTATGAAGAAAGGTCGTGTAGAGTTGGGAGATGTTTCATTTTAATCAGAAATTTGTGGGCTACAATCATGCATCATTAAAAAAGAGGTTCTAATTATTATTCGGAGTTTCTGAAAAACTGATTTTCCAGAAAATCGGGTCTTCAAAAGGCATGAACACGCACCTTTTAGACACCCCACTGAGGTCTATCGATCCATGTACAAATCACTGGAATCGGCAGGGGACATCTCGAAAGGTTCCGTCGTAAGTGTTACTTTAAGTGACGAAGTGTTATGTCAAGTGATGAAGTGTCACTTCAAGTGAAAGACACTTCGAATTGACGGTTATTTCCTTCTTGCTTTATTCACTAAAAATACCTTTTGAAAAATGATCGGTACCTCATACAATCGATTAGTGGAAGTCATACTATATCTGCCAAAGAGAGTCATTTCACATCAACAGTTATCTAGATGTGTCGAGCAAGATCAGCTCTATCGAACAAATTTTATCCCATTGAACAAAAATTTTCAAACAGCTACTACTGAGCAGAAACAAAAGGATAAAGTACCAAAAAATCTCTGTATTAGCATTATTATTCTCAAAGACATTTCTTAACGACGCTTGGCTCTAACGTGAAATTTTCTCATATCTGCACTTTGATAAGCTCTAACCAAAGATGGTGGAAAAAAATGTGCTATTTTTGAAAAATTCAAAATACGATACCAAAACGGATAAAATACGTATTTTAGAGCTTTTTCTGCCAGTAGTGACTAACTAGCAGAAAACTGAGACTATTTCGTTAATTATCTTCGATTTTAAGGACGCTAATGTTTTTTGTAGCTGAACAAACACCAAATTCGTAATCTACAGGCGCTTAAAATTTTTTCCTTTTTCCTTTTCAAGCGCCAAGTCATATTGCAGCTGGTTTCTGGGGCGATTATAGAAAGTAAGCATTCGTAGCTTTTTAGAAACTCTGCTCATGTTCATTTGTCGAATGTTCGCTTTTTTCAATATACAGCTGTGATTTGCCATTCTGGACAGCTCAACAAATTTTGGCATACATTGCCGAAATGGAAGAGGTATGAGGCTTAGTTGCGCACATTTGGAATGTAATAAAAACTGTTCTTTTTCTTTCAAGTTCGACATCGTGTATTACACCGGAGATTTGCCAGCTCACAATGTATGGAATCAATCAAGGCAAGACCAATTATTTTCACTCGATACAATTACAAATTTACTAAGAAAGACTTTTCCAAATAAAACCATTTTTTCAGCAGTTGGAAATCACGAGGCAGGTAATGTACATTATTTATCTTTATGTCGATATGCGGTTCTTCGCTTTGCAACATTTAAGGAGATCGGTATCTTACGAAAGAATTTCTGTATTTAAAAAGCGTTTCTTTTGTTAACGATATCGGACTCTCAGTCGCACAAATGTTTCACCGTAAGATTATGAATAGTATTTTACAATACAGATCTGAATTATTTTAGCTCCGTGCAATTTGTTTCCGACGCCGATAATTAAAAGTGACAATATATCATGGTATAACAAAAATATGATTATTAAATTAGTTTTAATCAGTCAATTCTTCACTCTACGTTTAGGTTATACACATCGTTAGCTGATAGTTGGATCAAACTTGGTCTACCAGAAGAAACACGTTCAAGTATAGTAAACGGTGCATTTTATACAACAATTGTACGTCCTGGTTTACGATTGATATCAATGAATATGAATTATTGTACATCAGACAACTATTGGCTCTTTATTAATTCGACGGATCCCCTATCCCAGTTGCAATGGGTTGGTTGATGACTACTTTTGTTGCTGCATTATCATGTAATGATTTTTATTTTAGCTTATTGAATGGCTACAATATGCTGAAGACCACGGAGAAAAAGTTCACATCATTGGTCATCATCCTCCACGATCTTGTTTAGCGTCATTTAGTTGGAATTTCTATCGAATCATAAACCGGTAGGTAGTAAATTTATTTACTTTTATTATCGATTTTGTTTTACACGACCTTTTATCTGTTTCAGGTATGAAAACACAGTATCTGGACAATTCTACGGGTACGTTAACACCGCTTTTTACTTTATCATTCACAGTGAGAATGTTTTTCAAACCAAACTTTGTAGAGAAAACGACTTTCCACATTTCGCTTTCCGATACTGAAAACCGCACCTTTTTAGCTGCTTCTTAGAAAAAGTTATCAAAGAAATGGCCGTGCTTCTTCTTT